GGGGATGTAGCCATATCGGTGAACCTCATTAACAAATCTCGGTGTCGTGCTCGTGTGATTGCTTGGTCCTCACTAAATCGACGGTATGCCTCGGATTTATTCTAACAAGTGGTATCATGAGCAAGGTTCAATTTAAGGAGTTGCTGGATCGTTGATTTAGAGAAGAGCGATGGAGACCGGCTGCAAATGAGCACGGCTTGCGTGCGAGACGTCGGGCAGCAATCGGAGATTATTGCATGTAAAGCAATCAAGAGCAACACGAAGCAGATCGATCCGATGTGCAGGCATCGTAACGTGCGGTGGCCAACGCACGAGAGCAGGAGTCCGCGTACAGCGGCAGCGGCAAGCAGCTCGATCGGGCATGCGGGGCAAGGCTGCACGAGCGGCGTATTGGATACAGGCGATTGAGCATCTCGGCAGGATTTTGATCGGACTCGGAGGCTCGGGCAGTGTGTACGCGGGTGGTCTACGTGGGCAGTGCAGCAGCAGGAGCGCCCGGCTGGATAAGGTCCAGGTGGGCTGTGGCCCATGAGGGGCTGCAGACCAATGCGCGGGTATGGCCTTGTTGCAGAAGCAGGAGACGCGCGTACGAGACAGCCTGAGGACAAGGTGCTGCGTGTTGGGACGTGCGTTCGAGATTTGTGTGGTAAAAAAAAGGAATATCTTCGCGCAGGCTCAGTCAGGAGATCAACTTTTATTGGCAAAGTTTATGCATGTATCGCGTCAGGTATAGGACGCGGTGGCTGGTTGAGGCCCAGGAGCCGGTGCATGAGGTTGCTAATTGAAGCATCAGGAGTTTTCTATGGAAAATTGGCACAAATACCGAGGGTTTCTTTTGGACAAAGAAGCATGTATGCATGGCAATTGGCATGACTGCAATGCGTACGAGAAGCTGCTTGGGTTAAAATAATTTCTCGGATGAAAGTGCGGCATGATGCATAGTTGGTCAAGATGGAGCGTGTGCGAGCATGGGGACGTGCGTATAAGGCTCGAAGGAGTCTGGAGCATGTCGTGGCTGGATCATGCATACACAAGGCACGGAGTGCGGGCGGACACGACGTATGGTGGAGCATGGTTGCAGTCGGATATTTTTGGTTGGGTCGGATTGGACCGTCTGGCGGATCGACGGAGATGTCGGTCAAAGCAGAAGACGGTGGTGATTTCGGCGACGACGACATAGAAGCATGATGCTGATGGTGACCGACTTCTGGGGCGTGGAAACACGTGGCGCAGGCCCGGAGGGCCTGTGTGGCTTCGACAAGACTATAGCGCGGGATTGATTCAAGGTGGTGTATACACGGAGCTTGAAGTCGATGGGGCGAGGGGTGGACTGATCATCTACCATGGAGTCATGTTGAAGGTGGAGCTGGAGTCTGGAAGACTTCACTCAGTGCTGATTGAGGGGCTACGGCGTAAGTCGACAGAGAGTCGAAGCCTATTCAGCGGGAAAAAGCGAGTGACATGCAGTTTGGACTGGAGCCCAGTGGTCTGATGGAAGTGTGAAACTCGTCATCGATCGATGATGATCGGTGGTACTCTGCAGTGGGGGTTGGGTGGTGTGGGTTCGCGACCCTTGAAACTCGACCGGGATAGCGGAGGCTCGACGCGGTAATAGCGACGAGGTGTGCGGTATGCACGGGACATGGAGACGGGCCAGGGCTCTGGTGGTCATACATGTGGTGAGACAAATGCGAATTTGACTCGGGATGACTACAAGCAATGGTGAAATTCCTTCAAGTTTCAGACAGGCGATCAAGAAAGGAGCAGTGATGTTGAGTTCAGGTAACTCTTATGTGTGACACCCAATATGTGAATTGTTCACTTTCACGCGGGTCAGAGATCAATGTGTGATGGTGTTGGACTAATACTCCGAAAGTTGGGAGCGCATACTAGAGTAAAGAGGAACTTAATTTTGCTCGAGTGTTGACTGTGGTCAGGAAAAGGAGGGGCTACAAGTTGCAGACGGAGTCATATGGAGTATTTTGAGTAGCAACGGTTCTCATGGGATAAGCTCAAGTCCAATGTACATGGAAGTTTGACGCATTGACGAATTCAAGGTGGTGGAGAATATTCGCCAAGGTGGAGTTTGTTATAGTTGTGTCAAATATTGTGTACAAGGTAGGTTACAATTGGACTTATAGTTGTATTGTGTTTAGATAGGATATGGAGTCGTGTCCTAGTAGGACACTTGTATCCTAGGCCTCTCATATATAGCGGGGGTATACACACGATGTAACTTATGCCAACATAATAGCACGGGCACGCGGGGGAGCCGGCGGCGTGTGCCGGTGCCCGGGCGGCCGGGGTGCGGTATTGTAGCTGTGTCATGGGGAGGAGCGCCCATAATCAGGCCCCAGGGATGTAGCCCTATCGGTGAACCTCGTTAACAAATCTCGATGTCGTGCTCGTGTGATTGCTTGATCCTCACTAGATCGACGGTATGCCTCGGATTTATTCTAGATCGACCGTATGGCATGGAGATGTTTAGGAAAGGATTCACGAATCCTTGATGGTGGGAAAGGAGATCGATCTTGACCGGTTCGAGGTGTGATTCAAGGTGTTAGAGTTTTTTCAAATATTGTGTACAAGGTAGGTTACAATTGGACTTGTTGTTGTATTATGTTTAGATAGGATATGGAATCGTGTTCTAGTAGGACACTTGTATCCTAGGCCTCTCATATATAGCGGGGGTAGACACACGATGTAACCTATGCCAACATAATAGCACGGGCACGCGAGGGAGCCGGCGGCATGTGCCGGTGCCCAGGCGGCCGGGGTGCGGTATTGTAGCGGTGTCATGGGAAGGAGCGCCCATAGTCAGGCCCCAGGGATGTAGCCATATCTGTGAATCTCGTTAACAAATCTCGGTGTTGTGCTCGTTTGATTGCTTGGTCCTCAGTAGATCGACGGTATGCCTCGGATTTATTCTAACACAAGGAACGCGGCGACGGGGATATGATTGAGATGTAGAATGGATGAGTGGAAATGTAAGAGTATGTGATTTCAACAGGGATCACAATAGAGGAGAGGGTTTGTCTCCTGGATGAGCTACTCCAACCTGGAGATGAGGGTCTTAATTCCCACACCTACAGATCTCATACGTCACTCACTCAAGCAGTAGAGACATCCCAATCCATGAGCACAAACAACACACCATTACATTTGCTCAATCTTAGTTTGAGGGCACACATGTATACAGTTACACACCATTATATATGCCCAATATTAGTTACATTTTTTTAGAACGAAGGCTCAAGGAGAGCCCGGCTTTGAATTAACAAAGCCATCAACCGGCCAGGAGATACAAACACCCACAGTTACAACGAAGCATAGCAAACAAGCAAAAGAAAAGGAAAACAAAAAAAGACGGCAGATACAAGGTGATGCCCGAAACAACTTCCTAGCCCCAAGACGTACAAGCAAACACGAAATAAGCAGTACAGACTAGCTTGATGTTGCTGAAGCCCTTCAATGCGCGAGTGGAGCACCATAACCCTGACAGAGAGCAAACTTCAGGGGGAGTTACAGCCCAGCAAAGATGGACATGCCCTCATCTACTCCGATAGGTGGACGCCGTCCTCGTACTGACCCTCTCCACTTCCGAAGGGGACCCCTGCCCCTCGCCCTGGATCGAAGGGCGCCGTACTGTTGGCAAGTGGCAATGCTCCCCTGAGCAAGGATTGGTACAAGCTTCCAGGTCACCATGGGAGATTCTCAGCACGACCCACCTGCTGCGCTAAGAACACCAAACGAAGAGCCTCATCAAGACACAATAACCCACACCCAAGGAAGAGAAGTTGTTGTTGAGCGAGGTTGAAGAAGAACTTGCAAGCAGAAGATCCAAGGCAGCCAATGCAGATAGCAGGACAGCACCCGCTGGAAACAGCACCAAGTTCAAGCCTTCCATGCCCTGTTGCTGCCAACGGGAAAGAACCCTATCTTCATCCCGTCCATGCCATGGCACTGAGAGCTGACGAGCAAACAGCCACAAGTCAGGCAACGAACAACCAAACAGCAGAGCACTGCCCCAACAAGAAGACCATGGCGCCACCTCCACCTGCAAAGCCGCCACACACTTGACAACCACACCCATCGCCCCTGCACACCCCCAACTCACCCAAGGCGGCACCTTCAGGAAGATGACGACGCGTCAAACGCCGCTGCCGCCCAGCCTGAAGAGACTAGAGTTTTCACCCGGGCATGAGAGTGGGAGGGAAGGGGTAAACGCACCTCGACGGCGCCTCCAAGGAGGAAGACGGCACCAGGAGGTGTCGCCGTCGTCGTGGCCGGGAATCCAGCCAGAGATTTCTCCCGGTCCACTACCACCCCTCTAGCAGCCCCGTCGACAGTTGGATCCGGCGACCAGCGGCCGCCAAGGGGGAAAGGATGAGAAGAAGAGGAAAGTGTGACCTGCGCCCAACGCCCGCCGCCATGTCGTCCACACGTCTGAGGAGGAGGGAGAGCACCACCAGTCAAGCATTGGTTGCCGCCAAACCAACACCGTCGCACCAACCCAGGCTGCCGCCTCGTCAGCCGAAGCCCTCCTAGCAGAGCCGGAGCGGCCAGATCCTCGCCGCCACCATCATTGGTGGGCGCGCGGGCTTCGCCGGAGACCTCCTCTGGCAGCGGCGAGGGGGGAGGAGCAGGGGAGGGGAACGCGGCGGCTAGGGTTCATCGCCTCCCGAGTCGCCCCGAGAGGAGCGACGCGGGGGCAGGGGTGGGGAATCGCTCTTTTGGTGGCCACCCAATCAATCTTAGTTACATGGGACACATGTACACACCATTACCTGTGCTCGATCTTAGTTACAGGACACACATGTAGAATAAGTAGCACGGGCACACACTCACTTAATCCACATACATATAGATACATAATATATCTTCCCACACATGCATGGCGGACAGCAACACACAATGGCAAACCAAAGAGCACGTACAAACCACACCATGGGATGGGAGCCGATGATGATGAACGGATGATAGGAAGGGCACCTGCAGCGTCAATCCTCTTTCTTCCAGAATAATGGGAATCTTGGAGCATCTTTCTTTTCTGGTATGTTTCTCGCTTCCTGGTTGCCTGGTTTGTTGTGTATAAGCTTGGGATTGTTCTTGTGTTTCTTCAATGCATCTATCACCTCATCGGGGACAAAATCACCATTGAACTCGAGCTCCTTCAGTTTTGGAAGCTCGTCAATGCCGGAGAGTAGTGTACCCTTTCTGTAGGACCATATGATTTTCTCAAGCTTAGTAGCAGATTGGGTAGTAAAGCCAATACAGGTGATGACAGAAAAGTCGATGGTTAGAAGGTTGAGCCTTGGGAAGTCGTCTTTGTAGAAGATGAGCAGGCTCTGTGCATAAGATATCTCCTTGAGTACTAGGCTGCGCATGTTAGGCATCTTGGCAAGAATCTCCACCTCATCTTGACAAAGAATGGTACGACAGAGAGTCACCTTGGAGATGTTTTTCGCCTTTTCAAATAATGATAATGATAGCTTATTGCTGTTCTTCAACTCGACTTCCTTCAGTTCATGAAGGTCTTCGACTCTAGAAAGAGACTGTAGGCCATTAGTGGACGACAGAATGATCTTCTCGAGTTTAGGACCTCCACCATTAAAGCTAAGGACAGTTATCTCGGAACCCTCAATAAGAAAGCACTTGAGACCCTTAAATTTCTCCTTGTTGAAACTGAGCCTGCCATCGATGTATGCCCTGTCTTGGAGCCTGAGACAGACTAATTTGGGTAGCTTGGCGAGGATCTCCAGATCAGCCTGCCTTAGTCGAGTACCAGATAGAGTTACCTTGGCAAGTTGAAGTTGGTCACCATCTTTGGTCAACAACTGAAAAAGTTGACCCGTTTCTGCGGTTCCGCGAATTCTTAGGCTCTCCAGAAACTTGGGACACTGTCCCTCAAAGGAAAGAAGCTTGGGAGAGTTATCGTCAGAAGAGTCTTCTGCGGTTATGGGAAGAGTGATTGACAGAGAGCGGAGGCACTCATGCAGGTCACAGATAGTTTGAAGCAAATTCCTGATGAGTTTGTCCTTCTGCTCAATAACCACACCAAGCTTCCTCAACCGCCATAGCTTGCCAATATCCTTCAAATCATTACTATTTCGTGCCTTGACATTGGACATTACCTCCATATTTGTCATCTTTTCGATCTTGTCAGGCACCATAACATAAGATACTTCATTATTGCTTGGCCCTGAACTCATAACAACTGAGCCAGCCAGCAAACGCTTCAACTTCAAGAGTATGACATGTACTGTTGCAGCTGCAGGCACCCTTGTCTGTCGGATATCCAATACTTCCAACTCACGGAGGTTGTTGATTTCACTTGGCAGCTTGGTAACATTTGTCCCCTTTGGCTTAGATACTTGAGTAGTAACATCTTGCTGCAGATGTCCTTGAGGTAGTGTTGGTTCTTCCCACCAAAGCATTGACAACCTTCCAGATCTAGTACCTTGATCAGGGATACTCGAGACTCTTCATGGAGCTTTTCGAAGAATTTATAAATTCTATCAGAGCCAAGGAGTTGGAGATCATTGAAAATGGAGAAGTGGCGAGCCAAGTGATGTGACAGACGGGTTTCTACAATATGCTGTTTTCTGGCGATCTTGGTAATGAATCCATGAACTCGATCACCTACTGCACAACTCTTTACCTGCGTTGTAGCACCAATATCAACAGGACAAACAAACCACCGATGGACAAGCGCATCAAAACATTGATTGGCACGGCGGATAGAACTGGCCCAGTCTTCCTTGGTTATTAGCCCTTCTACAACCCACCGTCCTATCAAGGTTGACCGCCTAATGCTCCGCCCTGGTGGGAAGATAGCTAGATACAGCAAGCAGGACTTGTATTCCTTGGGCAGATCACTATAAGAGAACTTGAACATCTTCTTATCGATGATGTCCAATGAGTTCTCCGATACCTCATGCATTGTTCTGCGCAGCTTTCTTAGTTCCTCATTGCTCCTCTTGGGGTTGGTGTACAAAGCATGAACAAAGACCTTCATGCAGAATTCATCTTGCTTACACTTGTCCAAAATGTCAAGAATAATCTGGGTGCTATCTTCATTCATCTGGTTTTTTCTAAGCTCAAGTGCAATATCTCGGTAGAGGCCAACAAGAGAACAGTCTATGGGCTCCCGCGGCGGACAACAATATTCTCTGGCTTGTGTACAATTTACGGTGGTCTTCAATATGAGTGCGCCAGCTATGCCACCTAGCATGCGGAAAGCATGTTTGGTCTCCTCCCATCCTGTTACGTAGTCATCATCCAGTTTGAGGATAACCAGTATCATCTCATCACCTTGTGTCTCCAAACAATCAATAATTCTGTCCATGATCCCTTTGATCTGGAGCTGCTCTTTCATCTTCCGCTGGATTTCTTCAATCTTGTTCATGGTTTCTTCAATTAGAGCATCTCGGATACAATCATGACTTGGTTTACAAGTAGCAGTATGTAGTTTCTTCACGGATTTGTCTTCCTGCGGCTCAGCTATACCTCCATGTTTCACGGATCTATTATCCTGCAGCTCCTGTAGGACTTTGCTGATCAATTCTTTGATTTGGTCGTCGACTAATATAACTGTACCAGAGGTGGCTTGCTTGGAGTCTTCCGGGGCTTCTTGATTCTCAACGGAAACACCTCACGTAGGATGTGTTCATATTGCTCTTCCTTTAGACGAATCATCTTTACGGGTGCTTCTTCTTCAGGCTTTAGTTTTTCATTTGCATCTTTTCCCATATGCCCTTGAGGCTTCATCATTGCATTTGCTTATGTTTCCAAAACATCTTTAACATTGACCTTCGACCATGCACGTCCTTCCATATACTCTCTAAGTTTCTTGGTTGTCTCCATAATGACATCATCATGCGAATGTGTTGCTTCCTTCCTTTCTTGGCGTTGCTTGGTAGCAGATGCACCTTCACCTTCAACTTGCTTGTGCTCGAGCAGCCAGAGCGCTTGGAGGAGCACTCCTAATGGTTGATCTCTAGCGGATTCCAGCAGGTCCAGCTGATCGTCAGTCATCAGTTCTAGGTTGGGATGCACCTGGCCGCCCTTCATTGTTTTGACTGTTTTCATGATTTCTGAAATCTTTTGGTTAACTCCCATTGCTTCGATAATTTTGGTGATTTCACCAACCAGCATAGATTTTTTCATCAAAATTGTTCTTTTCCTAGAGTGATGCAAGACAGCCTGCAAGAACGGGCGAAGGATATGTTGTTGGTTGGAAGGGCGGAGTCCGGGCCCGAGGAGGGGGTGGGAGAAATGTTGTACTACATCCTGCGGTAGCACCTTCCCTTCTCTGTCTGCAACTTGCTGCGCTTGAAGCTCCCGTAAGATGTAGAAGAGAATGTCTTGCCTTTGTAGCAACTGATGATAGAAGTGTACTGCTGGGATATCTACCAAGACACTGCGCCTGCGCATGCCATGTTTCTTCCACATAGATGTAGCTTCATTTGCAATAGCTCGAGTTTCATTCCTATGCGGTGCCACAATGGCAACAGATGGTATTGATTTCTTCCCCACGCCAGTGTTGTGTTCCACAACATCCTTTATCCATTCAGTTAGCTTCGCCCTCATGTGGTCCTGATGTGACGGCGGCCCGATCTTTCGATGAGAGTGGGGATAATTATCGATTTGGTGGATTTTGACCTTGACGATCTGGCTATACCGTACCCGACGATACGCCTCGACAATCGCTAAACCAATCTTCGATGGTTATTGACCTTGCCGTAGGCACGATCAACCTGAACAACGAGGTTCAAGTTCCTGCAAGCAACCGAAGAACCGGCAAGAATAAAGGTGAATTGCAACTGAAATTGCGGATAATAAACTGAGCACACGAACTAGATGAAAAGTTGGGGTTCCACTGTGGATCTGACAAGGCGGTAGTCCTACACGTCTCGTAGATGCGAAATTGTAGCGATGGCTAAACAATACAATAAAACCCGAGTCTAAACCCTAAACTATAATAGTTATTTATTAACTGCTGCTTCCGGTCGAAGGCGGTATCTGTTGTCCACAAATCGGACTGCTCGAGGCCGTACGTGGCTGGTCTTCGTAGACTTTGCGGCAAGCACCTGGCGGCCTGGCCGAAAGCTCTAGGGCCCACCCACGTGGTAATGTTGGGCCATTAATCCAAGTCTCTTGTCCTGGTGCACTTCATGCATGCGTACGTGACATGCTTGGTGGATAGGACGTGTGACATGCATGCAAGAGCGTTGCTCCATTTGATCTGAACCCATATTGTCTTCATCTTTAATCTTTCCTTTATTCTCAAGTACAAGCAAATCCAGACATGAGTGTAATATTATATTCTTATTAGTTAAATCATATGTACGAAGAAGCGATAGTACCTGGCCATTAATTTGTCTCGCCTGTGCTCTAGTAATAGGACCAAGTGGAATAACTGATGTAGGAGTTGCGGCGGGTGTAACAATAGAAGAGATGTCCTCATCATCCCCCCCTTCTTGAATCGAAGTCATCCTCGACGGTACCTCGTCGTCATCACCCAAATAAGGCTTTAAATCTGCAACATTAAATGTGGGACTAACCCGAAATTCTGCAGGTAAATCAAGCTTATATGCATTCTCGTTAATTTTTTCAAGCACTTTAAAAGGTCCATCCGCACGAGGCATTAATTTTGACTTTCATAAATCAGGGAAACGGTCTTTTCGCAAATGCAACCATACTAAATCACCTGGTTTAAAAACAACACTTTTCCTTCCCTGACTACCAGCAAGTTTATATTTGGCATTCATGCGTTCAATATTTTTCTTAGTCATCTCATGCATTTTTAATACTAATTCAGCACGTTCTTTAGCATCAAGGTTTACCTTCTCCGAAGATGGAATAGGTAATAAATCAATTGGTGCACGAGGTATAAATCCATAAACAATCTCAAAAGGGCATAATTTTGTGGTGGAATGAACGGAACGATTATAAGCAAACTCTACATGTAGTAGACATTCTTCCCACATTTTTAAGTTCTTCTTCAAAACAGCCCTAAGCATAGTAGACAATGTACAATTAACCACTTCAGTTTGACCATCAGTTTGAGGATGACATGTAGTACTAAATAAAAGCTTAGTCCCCAATTTTGTCCACAACACCCTCCAAAAGTGGCTAAGGAATTTTGTGTCACGATCAGAAACAATTGTATTTGGCACACCATGTAAACGAACTACTTCGCGAAAGAACAAATCAGCAATGTGAGTAGCATCGTCACTTTTATGACAAGGTATAAAATGTGCCATCTTAGAGAATCTATCGACAACAACAAAGATACTATCTCTCCCCCGTCGTGTTCTAGGCAGTCCTAATACAAAGTCCATAGATATATCTTCCCAAGGAGTGCTAGGAACAGGAAGAGGCATATATAAACCATGTGGGTTCAATCGTGACTTAGCTTTTTGGCATGTCGTGCAGCATGCAACATATCTCTCCACATCCCTTCTCATTTTTGGCCAGAAGAAATGACTAGCAAGGATGTCTTCTGTCTTCTTGACGCCAAAATGTCCCATAAGTCCTCCTCCATGCGCCTCCTGTAACAACAAAAGACGAATAGAGCTATCTAGGATGCATAGCTTGTTAGCGCGAAAAACAAATCCGTCATTAATGACGAACTTGTTCCAAGTTCTACCCTCCCTGCAATTGAGCAATATATCTTTAAAATCGACATCATTAGCGTATTGCTCTTTTATAGTTTCAAGTCCAAAAATTTTGAAGTCAAGTTGTGATAACATGGTATAGCGTCTAGACAATGCATCGGCAATAACATTCTCCTTCCCTTTCTTGTGCTTAATAACATAAGGAAAAGATTCAATAAATTCAACCCATTTTGCATGTCTACTGTTCAGTTTGCTTTGACTTCTAATATGCTTGAGTGATTCATGATCAGAATGTATAACAAACTCCTTAGGCCATAAATAATGTTGCCATGTCTCCAAAGTCCGAACTAGTGCATAAAGTTCTTTATCATATGTTGAATAATTCAGACTAGGCCCACTGAGTTTTTCACTAAAGTATGCTACTGGTTTGCCTTCTTGCAATAGAACACCACCTAAACCAATGCCGCTAGCATCACATTCTAATTCAAACATCTTATTGAAATCAGGTAATTGCAGCAAAGGGGTGTTTGTAAGCTTATCTTTAAGAATAGTGAAGGCTTCCTCTTGTGCGTCGCTCCAAACAAATGGCACATTTTTCTTTGTGAGTTCATTGAGCGGTGCTGCGATGGTGCTAAAATCCTTCACGAACCGCCGGTAGAACCCAGCAAGTCCGAGAAAACTTCGTACCTGTGTGACCGAGTTAGGGGTCGGCCAACTCTGGATCGCTTCAACCTTGGCTTTATCAACTTCAATTCCCTGCGCTGTCACAACATAGCCAAGAAAAGCGACTCGGTCCGTGCAAAAAGTGCACTTCT